AGGTATGTGCCCAGGGTACGTCACCCTGCTCCAGCTCAGTGGGGAGATGGGTGAAAGGCTTCAGTGCCGGATGTGAAATACACAGAGGCTTCCAGCGACCTGACTTTAGAGCCTCCATCAGGAAAAACCCAAGCAGAGGAGATGTAGTTGCCTAACCAGCAGGAAAACCTCAAAGTCTCTTTAAAAGGGTCTTAAAGAAGAAAAAAATGGCATTGCAGGAGGTGGGGCCCAGCCTTGCCTTTTATCTCAGCTCTCTGCCTGGCAACAGCATCCTCCTGTCCTGCTCCAGGGCCATGTCCCCAGGGATGAGACTCCCCCGCAGGCGTCACGGGATCCTGGGAGTCAGCAGCCAGGACAGCCACTGGCTCCCGCTGCTGGCCTTAAACCAGAGAGTTCCTCCTCAGTTCCCAGCACATGGGAGGGTTTTGGCCAGGGAAGAAAGAAGCTCTCACTGGGGAGGCCAAGCCACCCCAACCTGTGCATGCAATCCCTCCATGTCCCTGCCCAGGCTGGAGGTAGTGGTGGGTTTCTTCTGACCACCCTCTGCCCCCAAATCCAGGGAGTTTGCTGGGAACTCCACAAGAAAATACACAGGATTCCCTGTGTGATGATGAAAATCTGGGAAATAGTCAGCTTTTATTTGCTTCACTGACATTGGTCCTGCCCAGGACCCAGGAGATGCCACTTCCCAGGAGGTGTCTCAGCCTCCAGCCCCTGGTTTCTGCAGCACCAGCTGGGGCAACTCAGTCCCCCTTGGAGGAGAAATCAGCAGAAAGAAGCTGCTGAACATTCCCGTTTGTCCATCCAGCTGCTGCTGATCCCACCCCTGGATGGTGCAAGACACACAGAGCTCTGCAGAGCCACTGTAACATTTCCTGGGAGCACAACCAAACAGCACAACACCACCCACCAACTGGATCTTCAGGTCTCTTGCAAGGGGCAGCAGCTCTAGCTGTGCTTTGATGTGAGGAAGCAGGACAGGGTGGTTCTTCTGGGGCTCCTCTCTCTGCCCTGATTAGTGCCTGCAGAGGGGAACACTTTGGGCTTTCACACATCGAGGACAGCCTTGAGCAGGAGCTGCCAAGCTTGCTTGAAAACAAACAGCCCTGCCCATGCTCTTTAAATCGGCTCATACACAAAGAGCAACTTGTGTGCTCTGATGTTAGAGGCTTCAGGAAAGGGAACTTCCAGTTGGATAATCCAGGAACAGGACTGGATGGGAGGAAGGCAGAGAGCAGCACAGCTTCACCTAAACAGAACTGGAAAAAAAAATCCACCTGTATTTCACCATCTGCCTTTCTCACCCTAAAGGGTTTCCAAACTCACCAGTGCCAGCAGCAGTAGCTGCTGTGTGCCCAGCAGGTTCTGGGCTGGTGGCAGGGACCCCTCCAGATCTTCTCCAATCTCACCCTCATGGGGTGGCTGGTTGAGTTCCTGCCCTTCCATCCAGCAGTGCTGCAGCTCTGCCTGTCCACAGCATCCCCCTGGAGACTGGGGTCCCTCATCCTCCCCCTCCAGCACACCCAGCTGGTCCTTCCCCCAGGATGGGCTCAGCTCTGCCCAGTGAGGGTCTCAGGTGGGAGCTGGTTCACTGGGGCAGGTGTCCTGCAATGAAATATCACCAAGAATAGCTCTGGTCCTGAAGGCCATGGTGATGGTGTTCCCCTGCTCCCTGTGCTGCTCCCTCTGGGGCAGAGCCAGCGAGTGCCGTGGCTGTGTCTGCTCACGGGAAACACAATAATTGCACCCTCTAAATAAAGTGAAATCGGTGACAGATCGAGCTGCGTGTCCGACGGTAACGTTACTCACGAGTGCATTTGCCATGAAATTATTGTTAGTTATTCATCCCAGCTCATGCTCAGCTCCCGCTGAGGCCTCCGAAACGGCAGCGCCGCTCACGTCGCGGCCCGACGCGACACGGCGACAAACCAGATCAGGCTCTGCCATTTAGTGCTATCGTTTAATCAATGGTTGGGCTGTTTGTCCTCACAGGTGTTTGGCTGTTTTGCTCGGGTGCTTTCCTCTGGCCAGGCAGGATGATCCAGCAGCCCACGGCGGGCGCTGCCTGCCCGGCCGGATCCTCGCGCTGTGCTGCGGTGGCTGCGGCACCAGGGACCTGCTCTCCTTCCCACTTGGCTAATGAGTGTTATTATTGGTGATTGCATCAGTCTGAGATGGCCCTGACACCTGTGGGAGGCCTGATATGGGGATAGGGGCTTCCCAGGGGATCAGGGTATCTGTCCTGGCTGGGACAGGCTTGACCTTCAGGCATGACTTCCAGTTCACAGAGCTGCTGGTTCCTGTCTCTCTTGGGGGCTACA